ATAGGTGACCGAGGTGTTGATGCACACGTGTCCGGACCTCTTCTAATGACAACTGAGCTGGTGGCTATTAATCTAACTGGCACAGACAGAACTTAAACAGCAGTGTAACGCACAACTACCACGCGTTAGCTCTATAATTACAACTGTCTGTAATTACAACTGTACAGCTGTCACGAAGGTGCAGGCAAGCCAACGGTAATAGCGCGCGTATGCCGAACAGCCAGGTGATCGGGCAGTGCATATACCGATGCGGCGACGAAAGATAAGCAAAAATTACCCGTGCATATATCCGTTCATTTTAGCCGTGTTATTTACCCCAGCCGTTAGCTTGTGGGGCAGTTTTTGCAGTCGGTGGCGGCAATATTAAGAAAAAAAAAAAGACGAAAGGGCTTTATTTTAAATCTACAGCGGCCTGCTCGTTTGTCTAGGTAGGCGAATTGGACAGGCATTTCTGAAATGACGGCAAAGAAAGGTATTTCGTGACAATGACTACTGGTGAAGTTCAAGCACATCAATCATATTAAGTAAATATATAATTTATACTACAGAAATATGGTGGTGACGGCAAATAGCAGGAGGTCAAGCATTAGGAGCCATGTTAAAATCAGCGAAACTCATTGCAAGAAGGATGAGTGTTTTGTAGCTGGCACTATCGACTTGGTATTGATTCAATATAATATTAATATTTTGGCGGCTTACCTTCGGCTGATTCGTGGAAATCTAAATCGATAAACGATATTCCCCATGTAATCGCATTTTTTGCTTAAAGCAATGCAACAACGTCCGTATCGTATTAGGCCAAGCTGTACATGAAAGTAAAAAACGGCACCAGATTTGACAATGTGAAGGGACCTTTAATCCACTGGCTTCTGCTAGTTTTCGACCTCAGAGGTTTCTTTCCACATCCTATCGTTCGATTCGCTATCAGCCTTGCTGCTGGTAATTTTCTAGCGTAGGACGTTGCGAATACCCGCAGCAATTCAGTTGTTATGCGCGGACGCCTCCGCACCCCACGTTGAATGCCTACACAAAGAGTCCTACGAAATAAACCACAACAACAACGATTTACCTAGCTGGGAGTCATCGACCGCAGCAGAATTGACAAGATCCATCAGATAAAACTTGTACTATGGGTGACATAGACATGCTCGTCGGTACCTGCTGGCAGAATGATTTTACGGTGTTCTTATGTTATTGTGATTAGTACTGCTATATTTTCTTTTATGACCGCGTGGCTGTCAAGCCGGATAGGTTCGAGTAATTGTTTTCGTTATCGACGTCGGCTCATCTCTCCTATAACCTTGCTAATTCGGCCATTGCATCGCGGAACCGCCATTGGTTTCGTTTGGCCTGTCATACTTGCGATATGTCGTTGTCCAATCAACGGTGGAAAATTCAGGACTCTTTCAAATAGCCAGGTCAAATCACCTAGTATTAGTATCGGTCCAGTGATTTTTCTGACTGGAATATTTGAACAATCAGCTAGCGTCGCAGCAGATATTGACCTTGCCGGACAAAAAATCACATTAAGAAAATATCGATTTTTCGAATAAGGGGGGTAGACGCTAAAGAGTAGATTTGCATAATCTCACTGGTAATATTGATCGTATGAGCGAAACTGTAACCCCTATAGAGCTCAAGAGTGAGGTGCTTCCGCATGTAAGCCCCAATACCAAGTAGCAGTTGGGCTTAACAGCAGCATTGTTGCGCTTATGACAACGACAACAACAGTTTGTCCTATACCGTATCAGTAAACCAGTAAAATTCGAAAAACTAGTGGGTCATAGTCACAGCTGAGTTAAACCTGATGAAGAGCTAGCTACTTTCAAACGATTGAACAAATACATGTATGCTGAGAGGAGCTTGTGTTTCCCGAAACTTGTGTTCGCGCTGCCTCTACCTCTTTGATTAAATTAATCGCCAACTCGAGGCTGATGATCCATTTGAAAGAAAAAGATAAAATTAAGAATAAAAAAACCTAACTTTTTGTACTACTAATCTAACTTTATGCTACAACAGATCTGCGTCTATCTCAAACCGAACAGGCTGCATTTTTTGTCCACAAAAACGTTTTATGGCTCCCCCAACATCGCCGCTATCCAAAGTCACCGCCGGCTTCACCCCATCTGAGGGTATTTTAATAATAGAATAGCGGAAGAAAGCGCCCTAGACAGGCGACAGCTTCAGCTACGGACAACATGGGAGGCTTCTTACGGTTATAGGTAGGTCATGGAAGGTGGCTCCAGCCTGAAGAAAGGGTGAAAAGAGGGAAGTGATGGTCGTGGCCAAAGGATGTCTCCTTCTATCATTTCTGCAGAGTTGGCCTGTTGTCGAAATTTTTCTTGCGCCTTGAGTTCCTTGTTTACAACTAGGTCGCCTCCTCCCTCCTTTTTCTCTGTGATAAGTTTGCTCCAGCTCTTTCCTTCTCTCTAACGCAATCTCGCATTGTTTCTGACGTGTTTATATGTGAGTGTTTTTGCTGCTCTTTTAACAGCGACAGCAGCGCGTAGCGGCGGTATGGCAACGGTGACGCTAGCGAAGGCTTGCGACAGGCGCCTGCTGCAGCTGCCATTCCGTCGTGGCGGCTCCGGGCCTCTGCTGTTTTGCACAAAATCAGCAATTCTAAAATAAGGGAAGATCGGAATCGGAGGGAGGAAAACGACAGAAGCAAACGCACAAGAATGAACGGCCGCACTAATAACGACGACGAGGCCAGTGGCAGCAGCGACGCAAGAGAGCGTTGCGCGATTATGCCCCGGGCCGTTTGCTTGCCAACCAACCGATCATTTGCTCACTGTTTTTTTCTCTATAGCTAGCTTCCACTGGCTTGGCTGCCTATTTTCTCGCTAAATAAAAAGGAATTTTTTCTATATACAGAAAATACTTTGCTGCTTCTGCGGCCCCAACTGGTTTCTGCTGACTTTTCTGATCGAGGCAAACAACTGTGCGGGGCTAACTGTATTGAAGTGAATGGTTGGACAATGCCGGTGAGAGAAGCAAAAAAAGCCGGAACATCATCGAGGACTCTTACCCACAAAATCGTCTGGGGAGTCATGTGACGTACGTGAGGAAGGATGCGCAGGGTCGCAGACATGCATAAGGATGTCTACGGGACTATGCGATTAACAGCGGGAAAAGCTGACGTAACCGCAAGATCACCGCTGGAATAGGAAGAAAGGTTACAGTATTATTTTTCGTTCTAGTGTTTTGCTTGCTGTGAATGTTTTCTGCTACAAGTTACAGTAGCATGGCAGATATCGGGGCAACTGGATTTCACGCGATACTCAATTTAAGTATGACAGTGGCTGGGCTGATTCGGTTGGTGTGACACTGACTTCGCAAAGATTTTTCCGTCAAGATTCTGGGCTCCGGCAACCAACGATCATCGACAGGTTGAGCGAGAAGTCGCGTAGGTGAAGGAGGCCCAACGATAAGTGAAACGCTCCTACCTTGGCGTCGCTCTAATCGTCGGTCATAGTTGTGTGGCCCTGATCGTGGATAATGTTGTGCCCTCCTATAACGACCAAGCAGACAGCGTCTATTTGGCTTCTGTGGTTCTCTGCGTAGTTTTTTTTCTACCCAGTCTAAGTACTACGGATGACTCGTACACATTCGCGTTCTTTAATTGCTGCAGTGAAAAAGCCGCAGCTGATAATGAAGTTAGCTGGAATGCATAACGTCAACTGAGAGCGCGCTCTCCATCCTGCCCCATTCTTCTGTGCTTTTTTTTTCTTTCAAGCTTTGTCCCACTGCTATTTCTATTGTTTTTTGCGGTTGCTTGTTTTGGCGTTCTGTCCTGCTGTGAACTTGCTCTGTTAGATAGAATCGATTTAGATCGGTTCAGCCGTTCATTGATCCGCACAATGAATGATAAGTTTGGCTGTCGCTAACGCCTATACGCTCCCTCAGGACTGTACTATATGGCCAATGAGTGTGATAAGCTCCTGTTTTCTCAAAAAAAAAAAAAAAAAAAGAAACTCTTAGTGCACAAGTCGCTTCTTTATAGGTGCGTGCGAATTTCTAACAATCAATGATAAATTTTGAAAATGCGCAGGGTAGAAGACAACACGCCAAGTATAAAATTGTACTTACAATACCAAAGGCATTGACGTAAGTAGATATAACACTTCCGGTTTCACTCCTTTTAGCTTTCTCTGGGAGAATGATTTAATTTTTAGGCTTGCTTAGTGTGATTCTGACACAACCGATCCTAATGAGGAAACGTTCCGCGGCCTATCCCAACGAACACAGCTCCGCCAAACAAGGGGAGCCATCAGTAGGGGGACTCGAAACACTCTGATCTAGGCTAGTTTTGTTTTCTTTTCTTTTCGGTTTACATTTCTACCGCCATTTTTATTGGCTCCGTATGCATTATCATGCTCAGCGGATTAACTCGACTGGTCCTGCTGCCTTTTTTTTCTTTTTACGGAAACTTTCGCACGACCTTTCCTGCCTGAATATCATTTACCAACACGGTTGACTGGTAAAGCGAATTAACATAAAAGAGGTGTTAGTTGCCCCGTCTGCCGTTCGTCTTCCCGCACGTATTTGTCTACAGTGCTCTGCATAATAAAAAATTCTCGTTTATATAATACCTGGAAGCTTTGCTACGTGGGGAAGCGCTCACACGTATACGTGTATAAGTATGGAGTATTATTATGGTTGTTAGTATTGTTATTAAAGTTTATGTATCAAAGCAGGACGCTACATGAAAGCCGGAACGTCGGCACAACTGAGTGTAGACGATACTATTTCAGTGGCAAAACTGATGGGAATCAACCCAGCAACTAATAATCATCCAGACAAATCTCACATATTTACTTGGTAAATGGCCTATAACTTACTCCGCATTTGCATGAAACTGTTGCGGTTACTATTTCAGTAGAAACGATTTGTTTTTCCATTGCTTCAAACTTTGTTAGAAAACTGCCAGTTGGCAGAAAAGGCCTTTGTGGAACGGTTGCTAACATCGATGTTGTCTGGGTACACTGTTGTTTTAGCACTTAGCGAAGTTTCGCCAGAGTACCATAATAGACATTTGCCTGCCTTGTCAACAACCTCTTGGATTGATGAGAAGACCACAAGTGATGCCCGTTGGTTTACTGGACCCTTGCCTGAAGAAATTGCAGAAAGGGTTGATACACGTTGGCAGGCATCCAACGGGACAAATCAATCTTCCTCTAAACCGCTCTGTGTTGAAAGGCCTGGTAGAATGGATGAAGATCAGAAAAAGCTAAACTGGGTTTGAATTCTGAAGATCAAGGGTACGAGAAGAAGGCAAACCTTAAAAATGTTCATTAACTCATAATATGTATAAAAATGAATTAAAGAAAAATTGTCCTGTTCTAAATTGCATTTTCAATAGAAAAAAAAAACAGGTCACTGACTTATTATTATTTAACAATTGCTGATAAAATGCAAATAATAATGAAACGTGTTACGTATTTTTCATGTTTCTTCACGGTAAATACTGCGTATTTAGTTTGTGTGTTTGTTTCATATTTGTATTCTACGACGAATTCAGCATATTATCTGTTAGTACGAATAATAGCTAATGATACATCGTCCATGGTGTAGTTTGCCACACAGAATTTCCCTTCGATGACGATGTTTTTCGATATGACCAGATAACGGCCGTGTTCCAATGGGTCTTTGCATGCTTCGTTGGGTCGGTCCGTCGAGTCATGTTGTTAATCCGACTTCTGTGCCTTCTGCAGGCTCGCAACAAAGAACATTGATAGACTCTGCAGTTGAACAAACTAGAACTTATGATCAACTGGTCACTGCTAAGTGTTTGCTTATTTCTCGTGTAAGTAAATGCATCATGGTATATGTTCATTAAAAAATAGACACCTATTACCGGTAGTAAGATTCTCCCTGTGTGACAATCGCACACGCAGCTTTGTCTTTCATATAAAATGCCTAGGGCCGACAATTACGTACGATTACATCTGGCCGGTATTACGTGTCACCACTGCAAGGCCTGGTCGCCGAAAATGTTTTATAATACTTGAACATACTACAGTACCCCACTAGGACCATGGCCGCGAACCAAAAATCAGTAGCAACATGCATGTTTACACTATATGCATAAAATACATATACAATGTACAAAGCTAATATGTCGAAAGCGGTTCGTACAAAGTCCCCTTTTACAATTCTCGGCCGTCAAACTGCTGGCGAAGCCACTGTCGCTGTTCGACGTGCACCTGTTGTCATCATGCGAAAAGTGACGCGCCGCCGCTCGCGACCACCGCACGGCGCGTGAAGGAATTTAGTAGTGATATTGTATTTAGTCCTATAATCTGTAGCATGTCCATTGCTCTTTGACGCCGCAAGAACAAAGAAGAGATACCCGCAACGTGCTTTCTTCATTGTCTCTAATGTTCAGAAGCAGAATGCAAAATACGCCACCTGATCTATAGAATTTATCGACCGTGTGTCCGTTAACGAGGCATAGCACTGTCAGGCAGCGGATGTTAGCTTTTAATGGCTTTAGTGTTGCTGATGCGGGGTGGTCCGTTTAGCCTGTCATTGTGGCGGCGCTGTGTTCGACATTGGCATACCTCGGCTTGTTGCCTTCGTCGCGGGCGTCGATATTGATTTTGCAGTCCTAAACTTAGAATGTTGTTTATCGCAAACGAACCAACAAGCGACTACGGGTCATTCAGTGTAGTTCGTTCGTTTCTTCGAATTAAGGCGGTATTTTTGCCCTCGTACGTTTATTGTCTGCTAGCAAATACTCAATATTGGACACGCTTGTGACAGAATGGTCGGGTATTGTGGTAGGTTGTCTAGCGTAAGTTTTTGGTTCCCTGGATGACACCCCACTGTTGACTGCACGACTGGTTAAGTCTGTATAGGTGTTTAGGGAGTAGACGAGCGCGATCAAGTGCCAACCCAAGCCGACCAGGCAATAGAGGCTGTTTCGGTATGTGACAGTAACATTTGACAGCCACAGATAAAGATGTCGTCAATTGTGTGTATCCTTACGAATGCTTACTCTAGGCGCAGATTACTACCATTGTTACCACTGTAACAACAATGTAAGAGTTGTCTAAGAAATATTGTTTATATGCCAAATAACTATCTTACAAACTTTGAAGATTTTAGATAGATTTGAGAACGTTTGGAACTGTTGGACATTTTCAGTTTTTAAATGCAGCGAAAGTTTGTTCTGGTGTGACAGACCTGATACTGCTGGCAAATTCGCTTCTATATATGAATAACTTTCAGCATCGCGGTATTAAATACCTTAACTAACGTTGTTTTTCCCTAGTCTTTGAACAAAGTTGGCCATTATTTCGGAACCAGAATAGCTTCTGGACCGTATTATAACAGCTTCGTTCTAAGAGAGGTTTGATAATCAAGGACAGTATGCACTACGGAAACGCTTAAATAATAAACTTATTAAATAACTTGAAGCACAAGTTCATTCATTACGTATGCACATTTATAATCAGACACGAACTTATTGACCCGTTGGCATCATATTGCCTCAAGTCGATCTCAGAACACATTCTACGGCAGGTTCAACTAGATAGCGTTCTAGCTGTTCGATTGGTATTGATTTCCATTGCTTACTGCAATAAGTGTGTGCCTGCGTGTACGTGTTTAGACAATATGTCGTCGTGCACGAGTTAAATTTATACTCTATGCATTATTCGACGACTCACTGGAAATAGTTCGTTGACGGTAAACCGCTTCGTTTCCGTCGACGTATGACGGCTAGTCCGAAACCCCAGTGCAGAGATCATTAGATAAAATCCAGCACAAATTTTTCAAAGTGGCATAGAAACACGTTATTGTTGTTGACAGCAACACGTACGTGAGAGTGGTGCTCGTTTTCGAAAACAAAAGGAACAGTAAGGTGTCTTACGCATAGCGTCTCATATCGTTTTTGTAACAGCGGTTCCTTTGTAGCAATCAATTGAACCTAGCATCGGGGACGCTATAGCTTTGCCTATTCAAAGCAGGACGCGATCACATGCACTGTTTTTATGTAGAATCTAGTGCGACAAACTACCGTCTCATTATTGCAAAGCAAAAACGAGTACACAAATAACTTATGCTTAAAAGTCACCTTTAGCAACTGTTCCGTGTGGGTATTTCCAGTAGATTATTACTAAAAAGATTTACTCTCTAATGTCGTTTTCATTCGTAAGCATTTTTTTCAGGTAAGCGCTTAGAAGGAATATATATATAGGTTCCTGCTACGTGCCACGTACATGCTTGGTACGTGCAGCTAGGTTAAAAAATAACGCATATGAAAATCAACGGAGCAATTTTGAAAATGTTTTGGGTCTGCCATGCTGTCTGCAGCCATTCTATTTGGGAACACTCTGCTCAGCGAATCTCGTCGGTGGCGCACGGTAACAGGCTAAAATTGTGACAAATTATTGAACGATATCGAAGGCTATAAGGCATTGACATTTTCCGCTATATATCTATCCGCTATCAGCACTTTGCCGATTTTGTTGGCGTGATGTTCATTTAGAAGGTGGTTCGTCGTACAGTACAGAGCGCCGTTTCGGTTCCGGTGGCGTCCGACCGACTCGGCTTTGAGGCGACTTCATTCAATGCGAGAGATGAGGTTATAGACGCGTCTTCATCAGTGTTTTTATCAGTATCGATATCAGACTATAAGGAATCCTTTATTAGGCTTCGTGCGTGTGCCTAGCTAACCCGTCTCCTGGACTCCCATGCTCAGACGCCAAAGACTAATTAAGCAACAAAGCACTACTATCGGATCCCGAGGCTATGACGAACGTGGCGTTGGTGTCTGGATCTTATTCGTTTCTGTAGTTTTTGGTGCGCGCCCGACGCGTCCCGACAGCAACAATCATTGAAGTATTCTGCTCGACGAGGCTCTTCTTTGAACTCCTGTTCTTCGACTGTTTTTCTTCCGTCCGCACATCCGACGATCTTCTATCGATCCATCCATCCATTCATCCATCCATCCATCGAACGAGCGAGCGAGCCGAGCCGAGCCGAGCCGGCTAGTGAGTCAGCCGGCGCTGATCCTTCGTTTGCCGTCTTATCTCGTTTGCTGGTTACATATCTGTGTTATTCTTGCTTTTGCCGTTGTGGTTCAGCTGTAACCGAGTCGATCTCTGCCGAGGTGGCCTTTGGTTGTTGTTGAAATCCTGTAATAGCCACATGCGCAGCAGCGACAACAACGTCAGTAGCAACGGCATCCGCAGATCTTCGGACGCAAGCTGCTTAGCAAGCCACGCGTGGTGCCGCGTAGCAATGCATCGACTCGGCAGAACGTAGGGCAGTCCACCGCGGACGTTGACTACAACGACGAACTCGATCTGGCTTTGCTCATTTGAACGAATAGCCGCTACAGGCACTGCAGATAGCGAATGGCTGCACGTAAGTACGTGGCGGTAAAGGCTAACGCGACTTTGCCGTCCGAGTTCATTTGTCTACAGGGGAACGTTAGCAATGGCTGGGCGAAGGGCGGCAGTCGGGTGCCCTTCGTGGCGGGCGGCGACTCTGGAAGAGGCAATGCTGGCTAGCTCCTGTGTTTCGAAGCTGTTTCTGTGATCGCCGTTATCGTTGCAGTTAACGATGTTGCTGATTATATTACTACTACTGCTGCTGCTGCTGCTGACGACGACTCATGCCGAGTTACTTTATTCGTGCTCGTGCAGTCAGAATGTCCGCGGCAGAAATTGGTGGTCCATCCACGGGTCAAGCTGAGCTGGATATTCGACGATGCCCGGTGATTCGCGAAACATAGTTATTCCGGCGGCATCTCTGTTGTTCGCTTCCACACAGAGCACCACAGCCAGCATCGACGTCCAACTTACGGATGCGTGCATATCTGCCAATAGCGGACTTCCTTCAGTATGATCGCTTTCATGTGTACCGCCTGAATGTTGTTTTTGTTCGGAAAGATACTGCTGTCGATTGGCAAACAGCGTTCAGTGCGTGACGCCTCGAAAGCGTCACGACGACGAGCGACCGCGGTAGCAGCTAGTGATTTGCCGATGTCCGCGGCTCGACCGTCCTCTCCCATGACGACTGCGACCAAACGCTGCTAGCTTGACCTGATCAGTGTACCGCACAAGCTAGACATAGGCTGTAGCAGTTTACGCAATCATATGTGGGCTATCCTATCGGTTACTGTTGTTGTGCACAGCGCCTCCGATAGACAAACGTGTCCCGTTCTGTAACTTAGGGTGGTATTCGCTGTGCAACTTACGCATTAACGGCTATTATCAATTCTGTTGTTTATTATTCGTTTCTTTTATTTACTTGCTTGTATCGAGC